GAGGGCGGCGGCCTCTGCCGGGACTCGCGGCGGGAGCTCTGGGCCGTGAGTCGGGGGCGGCGGATGACAAATGCGGCGAAGCAAGGGTTGGGAGGACCGAAAGCGGCGGTCGGTCGGGGCGGAGCCGGGCCAGGCCCGGGCTGGCGCGGGAGGGGGTCCGGTTCGCGGCGCCCTGCCTGCCGGCCTAATCCCTGCTGCTGGGGTGACCCGGCCGCCCGCCCCTTCCCCTCGGGTCTTCGTCGCGTTCTCGTGACCCGCTCGGACTCGGGGCCATTCTAGTTTCCTGAGCCCGAAGTAAGCAGAGCCCGGATGACGGTCTGGTTGCCTGGAGCTGGGTAGGTAGAGCGCCAATCCGCTCCCTGACCAAAGTCATGTTTCCTTTCCTCCTTTTTTTTTTTTGGTCAGAATAAACCGGTTTAGCCACATGTACTTGGAGCTGTCCTCCAGCCGAATAGCACTTTCCCTCCTGATTTTCTTCCTGTTTGGCCTTTAAAAAGAAGTGGGTAAATTTAACTTTGTGAAGTAAATGGGAGGGACACACTTCCAGATTTTTCGTAGACATCAACTTTTGACACCACAACTTGTGTGTGCTTCAAAAGAGGGAAGCGTGACATTCGTTCATGCATGCCTCAACCGCCCGTGTAACTTAGCCAAACTCATAATCCCTGGCATGTTTTTCCTCAGGTTTTTTTTTTTTTTTTTTAACTCGGTTCTTTAAAAAATGTCCCCCAAACTGCAGTTTTACTTTCTAAACAGACTCTTATATAAATTTTAGATTTATAGAAAAACCGAGTCCCTGTATGCCCCAAACCATTTTCCGTGTTGTTAACATCCTACATCACTGTGGTACATTCGTTGTAATTAATAAACCAATGCATTATATTACCACATCCACCAATTAGATTTTCTTAGTTTTTACCTCAGTACTTTTTTGTTTCATAATGCCATCCAGAGTACCACATACTTGTAGCAATGTCGTGTCTCTTTATGCTCCTCATGGCTGTGAGAGTTTTTGAGACTTTACTTGTTTTGATGACCTTGGCAGTTTTGAATAATATTGGTCCCGTATATTGTAGGACACCTCTCTATTGCGATTTGTCTGATGTTTTTCTACTCAAACTGGGCTTACAGGTGATTAGGAGGAAGACTACAGAGGTAGAGTGCCATTTCCATCGCATTGATGGAAAGGCACGTACTATCAACATGTTTTTTTAAAAAGGAATTATTTACTTTTATTTATTTATCTATTATTCTTCAATTTGATGAGAGACCAAGCAAGCTGCCAGGTTCTGAACTAGATCCATATTTAACCATATGGGAGCCCAGCACTTCAACCGCCATACCACTAGCTGGCCTGTCCCCCATCAACATGATTTATGACTGCATGTTGACCTTGATCACCTGACTGAGTTATGTATGTCAGGTTTCTCCACTACTAAGTTACTCTTGCTCCCCCCCCCTTTGCATGTTGTACTCTTTGGAAGGAAGTTGCTATGTGCAGCCAACACCTAAGGAGTCGGGTATGCACCACCAACCATTTTGGAGGGCAAGTATCTATATTGTTTGGAATTCTTCAGCACAGGAGATTGTTTCTTCTACCCCATTTATTAATTTATACAGTATGGATTTAGGTTTTTTTTATATATATATTTTGGATTATAATCCAGTACTTAATTTCATGGCTCAAATTGTTGTAGTTTGATGTTGGGGCCCTTTCAAGTTGGCTGCTGTGCTTCTTCCTAGCATGGGTTTGAGCTTTTTGCCATTGAAACACTTACATGACCTTGCTTGAATTTCAAAAGCCTAGTAAATGTGGTAAAACATTTTTCTCTTGTTAACAGCTGAGGAAACTGAGGCCTGGAGGAAGTGGATGACTATATTTTTATGTGTCTCTTTATGCAAGGGAGCAACAGGCTGGACTCAAGACCGAGTCTGATCACTACAAAGACACTGCAAGCCTCAGAAAAGATTATGGTTGGAATAGCAAATTCTTGGGGTGACTTTGGACTTTGTCCCATGGATCAGAGTAGAAAAGATAGGGAGAATGGGAAAAGTTGGTTTTTGGAAAAACAAAGGCTTAATTCATTGGCATCCAGGATAAATTAAAACTTGCCAGCTTGGTAGAAATGGAATGTTGACCTTCCCCCACAAAAGTGTGTATGGAGGGATGCTGGGAGAGATCTGAGTAATGTTTGTGGCCAAGAATATCTAATCTAAGGAGAGCTCTTGGAGCCTGCTGCTGAATCAAAATTGTAATGTAGGAAAGAGGAGTATGGTAATGGGGAAGAATGAAGAGGGTAGAGCTCTGAATCAGGGGTGACATTAATTTCACAAACATTAACAGACACTTTATGCCAGATACTGGAAATAAGAAGATAGGCATGTCCCTTGTATTCATATTCTGGTTGGGTGAGAAAACTAGTAAAAATAACAGTTATGAAGCAGTGAGATACGATTTATTAAAAACATAGTGTAGGCAGAGCTGCAGGAACTAACCAGGGATTCTTGGAGACCAAAAGAACTTCACAGATAAGGGGTTAATTGTATTCAAGACTTCAGAGATAAGCTGGACATGAGAAAAGACCTTGTTCAAGGCCATAATTGAGTGGGAAGGAGAAGAAGCAGTTCCTAGTTTATCTAACAGCCAGAACATTAGATGAGGTAGGATTTGGGACTGGATGGATAAGTTGGGACCAGATACTGGGGCACCTCATATGCCCTACTGTGTAATTTTTTTTTTTTTGAGAGATTTTCACTGAGGGGCGCGTGCACTCGCCAGACAGACAGAGAGAGACATAGAGACAGAAAGCGAGAAATCACCCCCCAGGGGGGATGGTCACGCCGCAATCCCTTCTCCTCCATTCTCCTCTCGGGATCTTGGGCACGCACGCACACGCGCCCGGCGTGAGTTTTAAGCCACTGGGTCAGGGACACGAACCGCGGTCGACTACGTGGGAGTCCAGCGACATAGCCATTACACTAACTGCTGGTTCCCCCTACTGTGTAATTTTGATCCCCCCAGGAAGATTTTTTTTTTTAACCAGAGGACATGTACATTTGTCAGAGAGCACTCCCAGAGCAACCACCCTCTAATTTAGTGACATGGTCATACTGCATTTATTTTCCCTCCATTTCTCCATCCTGTCAGGATCCTGGGCACATGTGCGCCATGTTTTTTTTTTTTGGGGGGGGACAGGGTTTCAGTATAGGGCATGTGCGCTTGCCAGACAGACAGAGAGAGACATAGAGACAGAAAGCGAGAAATCACCCCCCAGGGGGGATGGTCACACCACAAACCCTTCTCCTCCATTCGCCTCTCGGAATCTTGGGCACGCACGCACATGCATCCAGCGTGAGTTTTAAGCCACCAGGTCCGGGATGCGAACCGCGGTCTACTACATGGGAGTCCAACGACATAGCCATTACTGCTGGTTCCCAATGTGCGCCGTGTTTTTCAAGCCTCCAGGGCCAAGATCAAATGGCAGTTGGCCTTGTGGGATTTGGCCCCTTATGCACACTTAGTGCTTAACCACTGTACTACTTGGCCGGCCCATCAGCTAAGACAAGATCTTTGTGTTGGAAAGATAATCCTGGCAGCACTGTTTAGGAGAGTTACCAAATCTGAACCACCTTTTCATTCATTTCATGTGGCCTTTTAGGTTCCACACAGAAAGATATTTTAAAAGCTAAATTAATGGTCAGATTTCAGAGCTGCTAAAATGTGATGACATGTCTCAGATTTGATGAAAAACAGTAACTCCCTAGCTGATAACTTAGATCCCCCACCCCTAGCCCCTGGAGATGAATGATTAGAATATCACCATCTCACTAACCCTAACCCATAGATCTCCACTGGTGATCTTGAAAAATTAAATTGGATAAACTGATCTTTTCTGCCTGATAGTGAAACACATTATCATAAAATGAAGGATTCTTTTTTTATTATTAATTTATTTTATTATTATTATTGTTGTTGCTGAAGAGTGCATATGCTTGCCAGAGAAATAATGAGAAAGAGAGAAAGGAAGAACCCCCAATGGATATGGGATGGACAAGCTGAAATCTTGCTCCATTTTTCCATCCTGCCAGGATTTGTGGCATGCACACACAGACCCCTGTTTTTTAAGCCACCAGGACTAGAGGTCAAACCGTGGTCAGCAATGGCGGATCCAACTCCCAGTGCATAGCACTTAACCACTGTGCTGTAGGTCTGACCCAAATCAGGGATTCTTATTTATTTATTTTTCTAAGAATTATTTATTATTCTTTTTATTTGCTATAGGGCACTGTGGTTGAGAGAGAGAAAGAAAGTGAGAAAGCAAGTACCAGATATAGGACTCGAAAGTCTGGGGACCAGCAGGTGGTGTAATGGCCATGTTGCTGGACTCCCATGTGGTCGACTGCAGGTTGAGTCTTGGACCTGGTGGCTTAAACTCACACTGGGCATGTGTGCATGCATGCCCAAGATCCCGAGAGGAGAATGGAAGAGAAGGGACTGGCACGGCCATCCCCCTGGGGAGTAATTTCTCGCTTTCTGTTTCTCTGTCTCTCTCTTGTCTTTTTGGTGAGCGCACATGCCCTATAGCAAAAATGTGTTTTTGGTGGCCGCACATGCCCTATAGCAAAAAAACCTCTCAAAAAAAAAAAAAAAAGCGTACAGTCTCACCTTGTGGGAGTTCAGTGCCTCAACTGTCATGCCACCTGTTGGCCCACCAAATCAGGGATTCTTTTATTTTATTTTAGAGAGATTTTTGCTATATGGTGCACGTACTCACCAGAGAGAGAGAGAAAGTAAGAAGAATTCTTCCCCCAGGGGAGATGGCCACACCACAATCCCTTTTCCTCCATTCTCTTAAGATTTTGGACATGAACACACACACACCTGGCATGAGTTTTAAGCCACCGGATCTGACACTCTGACTGGAGTTGACTACGTGGGAGTCCAGTAACATAACCATTGTGGCATCTGCTGGTCCCAAATCAGGGATTCTTGACCTTAAGATTTCAGTTAGGTTTACCTGCCTTCATAACAGCAATGTCCTTCTTTATGTGGCACATTAAATATGCTGATGCACTTGCCAAACCTTTATTTGTTTGTCTGTATATTCTCCCCATCCTATTTCTTCATGGTTAGATTAAGGCCCAGAAAGGTCAAGAATTAGCCTGGGGCTGCTCAGCACAATATTTGAGGCTGGGTGAAAGTTTGGGTGTTTGGGCCTTAATTTGGACTCCTCATTGTAGGCTTTGTTAGACTGTTGGCTGGGAATAGAAGTATCTGCCTGTGTTTCCTCACTCGGAATTCCTAGGAGCTCCGGGGCTGGGCCCTGATGTTTGA